TGACCCCAAGAACTCAACTGTTCCCAGCATAAGGGGTTGGGGTTGTCTATCTCAAGGCTGTTGTGTGCTTGTTCTTTGATGCCATTGAGATGTTGTGTGTTCCCCTTGTGCCACACGGATTGACTAGATTCTCATTTACTCCATCCCATTATATGATAGGCTATTGATGCACTCCCATTTTCACTTTCAGGAAAACTGTATAGTATGCTATACTTCTTAATAACTTTCTTGGCATAAGACATAGATCATACAAGAACACTTGAGCCAATCTTTTCTATCTTCTTTATTCTAATCCCCTATATCTTCCTCTTCACAAGCCTGTCCAGGTCACAGGACCATCCTGGAATATATAGGAAAAGCCAGAGCCAGGGTATGGGGGAAGAATGCCTTGAAAAACCTTCTGGATCTGACCATATTACCCTGGTAATTAGTACAATGACTCAGAGGATTGGGGCTAACAATTCATCATTGCTGAGTAGGGTGCCTGAGATTGGGAGCTTCCCTGAATGTCTGTTGACAGTTAATAAGAGGTGGTGGAAGGGTGTTTCTTTTTCAGAGAGGGAACCAGTTATGATCTAGTAAGTAACCTCCCACCCATGTTCAGACAGGTCTAGTTATAATCATAGGGTCCTAGTCAAAGAAAAGACATGAGAGAAGTCCTGATTTTTCATTTCTGCAATGGCCTTTGCATTATCTTTATAGAAACTCTCAACTGAGTCAGGTTCAGGTTGTGACCATAGGCTCACAACTCTGCCATCTCTGTACCTGTCTTCCTGATACTGCTCCATAGGGTTCACACTCCACACAGTCACCCTCCCAATCACAGATTGAAAGTTCTTTCACGTGTTTAATGCATATGCTACCATTTTCACTGCATATCTCATTCCTGACTTCCTGTTTATAAGAACCAAAGTGATACAAGAGATGCCTAGCACTCAGGGCACCCATTACAGCTGGTCAATGGGCAGCACTCATCATAGGTGAAACCTATCTTGTGTTTCCCACTGATTCACCCTGAAACCAATTTTCTGTCTGGAATCTCCATGCTACACACCATTATTCATGAACAAAATTCTCACCTAATGTGCACTGAAATTCAGTCTCTGCCTAGTCAGTGTCTATACACACATCCTTAACAGTAACAAACCCTGCAGACAATGCATTAAAAAGAACACAGAGATACAGTGTCAGTGGGAATTCAACTTATTGAAGGCATCATGTGTAGCTGGAGAGTTTCTCTCTGGGTCCCACCAAGTCCTCGCAGTCTCACAGACCATTTACAAAATAAACAAACTGTTTGGCCCAATGGCTCAGGCTTCTAGCTAGCTGTTTTTGTATCTTAAATTAACTCATTTTTATTAATCTATAAGTTGCCACATGGCTCGTGGCTTACCGGTATATTAACATCTTGTTTTTCATTGCGGCTGCTGGCAGCATCTTTTTGTTTCAGCCATTTACTTTTTAGACTTTTTTTTTCTCTTTTTGTCCCACCTATATTTTTTGTCTGGCTACTGGCCAATCAGTGTTTTATTTATAAATCAATCATCCAAAGCACTTCTCCTTTTTCTTTTTTTTTTTTAAAGGAAGGTTTTATCTTTAACATAGTAAAATTACATATAACAAAACAATCATTAAACAAGAATTATAGTTACAATATCTAGTCTATTTATGATATTTAGTTTATTTGTATTTGGCAAAATTAAAGAAGATATCCTATCTATCTTATGTTTGTGAGTCTAAGGTTTTATATCTAACTTATCTTTTATCATAACCAAGGAAATTATAACTATTTAATCTTCAACTACATCAAAGACCTCAGAAGGATATACTATTACCTGAGAAACAGAAGAAGGACGCAAGCAACTTTTGGGAGTCTTGCGAGAGTAGACAGAGACAGCTGGCAGCCTGGACTGTCATCCAAAGGGACTGCGGGGGCTTGGCAGGACCTGGAGAGAAACTCTCCAGTTACAATCACGCAAGTCTGTGTACAATTTCTTCAAGAAATTCACATAAGATTCAAATATATTACACATGTGATTTTGTATGAAATAACTATAGTACATTCTTGCAATAATGGAGAATTACTCACTGATCAACATGCATACTGAAAAGCAACAGAAAATGAAAAACAGAAAAATACATATATGATATATGAGCACTGATACATGGCTACCATGTCCTCATTCAGTCACAAGAAGACAATAAATGAGAGGTTTCTCTCCATAAAGATTCTAAGAAAGTTGATTCAAGAGGAACGGGCAGTTTCTGCAAGACAAACGAAGTAATGCTAAAAAGATACAAAATATGGAGAAAGCTCCAAGACTTCAAAGACCCCCAGGAGATTAAACTAAAATTCCAAAATCTTTTAAAATTTTGCAATAAAAGACATTGAATAATGTTGTAAAGACAGACAACAGGAGATGTTAATGGGAAGACAATATAGACAGGGCCTAATCCTCTGCAAAGATACTAAATAATTCTTCCCAAATTCCTGCTGGCATCATGTTAGGAAATGGAAAAACTGACCACAAAGGAAATGGAATCTAAAGAAATTACAAAAACCTTCAAAGTTAGGAGATCAGCAAACAAAACTTAAAGGGAAGAATTTTTCTAATTTTATAGCATGTAAAATCAGAGTAATGAAATTCATAATAGTGAAATGAACACACAAGTGATACAAATGGAATAGGGATGTCATTGTTCACAAACACAACAAAATAAATTATATTTTCCCTAGTATTAATTCTCATGTTATAAGCCAGTAACATATACAAGAACATAATCTTGAGATTATTTAGTATAGAATATTCCACAATAATTTTTAGAAAAATATGGCAAACCCAATTTCATTTCCCATTTGCACATTGTTTTAAAAAAATTCTTAGATTTTTAAAATTCATCTCATAAGTATTGATGTCTAGCAGTATGTCCTCTGTTGTGTCTGATGCCTGCTGAAGTCAGAAGAAGGCATTAGTTCTCCAGACGTAGTTGTCAGCCACCATGAGGGTGCTTGGAACAGAGCCCATATCCTCTTCAAGAGCAGGAAGTACTATTACATACTGAGCCATCTCTTCTGCTCCCTCCAAACTATACCATACATTTCTCTCTACCTCCCAGTATCCTCCTGCACAGTCTAAGCCCTGGTTAGGTTGCTGACACATTTCCCAGGCCTGCAGCTCCACTGGGCTGCAGTTTCCCCCATTGCACTGCTGACTGGTAATTCTCTCAGATGCCTCAGGGTGTCCTGCAACTGAGTTTTCCTGTCCCTACAAGATATGGAGATGACATCTGTGTCTTCTATTTGGTTCTGAACAATGTAGCTCCTAGAGGTTTCTCTGGGAATGCTGGGTTTTCCAGACCATGATGCCCTGGTTCAGGAAACACAGCTCCTGTAATCTAGATTTCACCATGCACTTGCACAAATGCTGCTAAATTTCCCAGGCCCACACAACCTCTGCTTCATTTCCCCATCATTCCTCAGATCAGGCGATTGTCCGAGTCCCACTGATACCCATCTGTCCCACTCTGTTCAGGCTACCTCCTACACAGCTTTAGCTGTCAGGCTGTCCTAGTCCTACTCTACCAAGCTTCCAAGGTGTTGCTGCAATCATACATAGGAACTGTGTTTATAAATGAGCACAGAATGAGGCAAACAATATCATATAAGGGGTACAAGGTGAGATATCTTCATTGTACTCAAGTTTACAAATTTATCCCTAGAAATCTGTGATGAATTAAGTAGAATAGTCATCTAATGTCATCAAGAAGGGGCATTATGATCCATGGAACTCCCCAAATTGACATCCCATAAGTCTGTTCAGCTGGTTGCATTCTCCAGATTTCTAAGGGCCAGTCCAGAAGCCTGTTTCCATTGTATCCTCTCAGATTAATCAGCCCTGATACAGCAGCAATTGATACAAATTACCACATGGTGTTTTGCCAATAGGAGCTTGAGTTTACTCAAGATTGTAGTAACCTTTTAAGTTCATGTTTCAATAAACACCAAAATGTTCTCAAACAGTACTTCCTCATTAGTTGAATATGACTATTCTCTTGTACTAAAAATCCATGAAACACGCAATGGTATGGTTTGTCCATTGTAACACATTGCCTTGTCTAAGGTCTAAAATTTTTGAGCCTTGCTGTTTTTAGTATCAGTATTCTAATATAATACTTTGGAATTGGACTAAATACTTCATCTTTTTGCAGTACTTCAGAATGATTTTCCAGCATACCCTTGGGGATTTCTAAGCTGTATATGAGTATGTGCATCTTTTCTTGCTCATAGGTCATCTCTTTAAAGCTTTACAGTCTCGGTATTTGTATGGATGGATTCACATGAAATTAAGCTGACTATAAGTCTTTATTAAAGTATTTTCTTAAGTTTTATTTAATGTTAAATTTTCTGATATGTCTACATTATTAGTATTGTGTAAAGAATTTAACAAAAGGATTCAATTCATGTGTTGAGGCTTATAGAGCGGAATTTCTAAGGTACAACAGGACATGAGGATAGCAAAATGATGTTGAGTATTTACCTGCGAACAGCAGTCTTCTGAAGGTCATTGGAGTTTGAATGATAGAGACTAAACATGATTTCAGAGCAATGCATAGACACAGCCCATTTTGGATGATGTCTGTCAATAACACAGGTTTGTATTCTTATTTTCATTTGTCCCACTGCAGACCTCTCACTCTCCTCCTTGAAAGCAAGGAAGAGAGTGGCCTTCCCAAGCCTCTATATTTTGTCTGTGTTGAGCCCTTTCAATGAGACAATGTACTACTATAACAGTAAGCCTGGAGCAGTGAGCAAAACAATCTTCCCCACTTTAGTTGATTCAAATGCTTTCTAATATTGATTTTCTGGTGTACAAGTTTAGAGGAACAATTAATATGTTCAGTACATACTATATGAGACCTTTCCTAGGAAGATACAACATTCATATGCACCCACTCAGCCAAGATGGGAACTGACAACAGAACCAAGCTTGCCACTGAAATCCAACTTGTTGAACCAATGGGCTTTATTGGGGTTACTTATATAAATACGAGACTGGAGTTGCTTACAAGAGCAAAAGTTACATAAAGACAGTTGTCATCATGAAACTCCAAGTCAGCATGAAATACAGCTTTTGAATACTGGACACCCATAGCATACTACACACCTGCAGATATATCTACATGTTAAAGGACAATGTATTTTAATGGCTCAATTCATCAAAGCCTCTTCTAAGCAGCAAGACTGGTATAAGTTTCTTCAAGCATAGTGAATCTTGACAGTTTCAGTTCTGGAAGCTATTTTGAATGGTTTATTTCCTGTCTTATTTAGCTTCCCTACAGGATGGAATGCTTGTCTCCACAAAACTGTTACACAACAGCACATTCTTCAGGCTTCTCCATTTTGTATTCATTATGAAACATTTGAAGTTGAGAAGGTAAAACGTCTTAATGAAAATTTTCCTACAATGTCACATTTGCAGAATTTTTCCTTAGTATAAAGTCTGGACATTTTTCTTTTTTTCAGATTCAAAAATTACTCAAAGGTTTTCACACATTTCTCAAGTACATGATTCCCTAGTGTGGATCCTGTGGTGGTCCATAAGGACAGAGCTTTGATAAAGCATATGCCATATTACTTAGTATGTAAACTTTTGCCTTTAGTAGGTATTTTCTGATATTTTCTTAGACCTGAGGGACAGGTAAGGAGTTTGCCATATACATTGCATTTATAAGCGTTCTCTCCTGTATCAATTCTTTGATGAGTTCTAGGGTGGGCTTCCTGGATAAGGGATTAGTCAAATTCACTGCATTGGTAAGATTTCTTCCAGTATGAATTTTCTGATGTTTTCTAAGAACTGAGCCACCAGTAAAAGATTTCTCACATTCACTGCATTTGTAAGGTTTCTCACCTGTATGAAGTCTCTGATGTGTTCTAAGATGGTCTTTCTGGATAAAGCATTTATCACAGTAACTACATTTATATGGTTTCTCTCCTGTATGGATTTTCTGATGTGTTCTAAGATTGGCTTTCTGGATAAAGCATTTTTCACATTCACTGCATTTGTAAGGTTTCTCTCCTGTGTGAATTCTTTGATGTCTTCTAAGGTGGGCTTTCCGGATAAAACATTTGTCACATTCACTGCATTTGTAAGGTTTTTCTCCAGTATGACATTTCTGATGCTTCCTAAGATCTGAGCCAACGGTAAAGGATTTCCCACATTCGCTACATTTGTAAGGTTTTTCTCCTGTATGAATTCTCTGATGAGTTCTAAGATTGGCTTTCTGGATAAAGCATTTCTCACATTCATTACATTTGTAAGGTTTCTCTCCTGTATGAATTCTCTGGTGTCTTCTAAGGTTGGCTTTCCGGATAAAGCATTTGTCACATTCACTGCATTTGTAAGGTTTTTCTCCAGTATGAATTTTTTGATGTGTTCTAAGATCTGAGCCAACAGTAAAGGACTTGTCACATTCACTACATTTGTAAGGTTTCTCTCCTGTATGAATTCGCTGATGTTTTTTAAGTTTGGCTTTCTGAATAAAACATTTGTCACATTCACTACATTTGTAAGGTTTTTCTCCAGTATGAATTTTCTGATGCATTCTAAGATCTGAGCCAACAGTAAACGATTTCTCACATTCACTACATTTGTAAGGTTTCTCTCCTGTATGAGTTTTTTGATGTCTTCTAAGGTGGGCTTGCTGGATAAAGCATTTGTGACATTCACCGCATTTGTAAGGTTTCTCTCCTGTGTGAATTCTTTGATGTATTCTAAGAGATGAGCCCACAGTAAAGGATTTCTCACATTCACTACATTTGTAAGTTTTCTCTCCTGTGTGAATTCTTTGGTGTGTTTTAAGTTGAGATTTCTGGATAAAGCATTTGTCACATTCACCACATATGTAAGCTTTCTCTCCTGTATGAATTCGTTGATGTCTTTGAAGACCTGAGGAGGTGGAGAGGGATTTTCCACATTCATTACATCTGTAAAGTTTCTTTGCATTGTGGGTTCTATAATGGTACTCAAGGTGTGACAATGTATAGAAGGACTTACTACATTGTTTACATTCATAAGGCTTCTCTCCTCCATTAATATTCTGATGTTTTCTAAGACCTAAGCAGCAGGTAAAGGGTTTTCTACAATCACTACATTTGTAAGTCTCCTCTCCAGTGTGGATTCTGTAACGTCTTTTAAAACCCAATGAACGATAAAAGCACTTACCACATTCTGTACATTTGTAGGGTTTTTCTCCATAATGGATGCTGTAATGTACTTTGTGGTGTGACAAATACAGAAAAGATTTATTACATTCTGTAAATTTATAGTGTTTCTCTCCAGGATGAATTCTGTGATGTCTACTGAGGCTCAAATAGGTTCTGAAACATTTTCCACATTTCCTGCATTGGTATGGTTTCTCTCCACTGTGGATTTGTTTCATCTTTAGTTTATGTTTAGAGTCAAAAAATTCATCATACTCTCTATTTTTGTGTTCTTTCTTTCCAGTGTGGATTTGCTGATATTGGCTAATGATGGGGCACAAATTTAAACACTCCCCATAATCTTTATATTTATATTGTTCTTCTGCAGTGTTCCCACTTTCATGTCTCCTTGGGTCTGATGATTCAATAGAGGCATCACTGTGGTTACCATTTCTGTACTCCTTGAAGTTTTCTGTAGTATCACTTGTGTTATACGGTATACCCTGGGAGGATTCATGAATCGTTTTCCCAAGCTCACAACATTTGTAAGACTTTTCTTGGATATTTACATCCTCACGGACAATGTGCTTTGAGTCTTGATCCAAGACCTTCTCATATTTACCACATATGCAATGGTTCTCTGAAAAATTAGCACAATTAGGGATAATAAGGATTGATGCTTGATTAAACAGATTCAATAACTGATGTTTTCTTAGACATACAACTAGCAGTTCTCAGGGATAGAGCTTTCAACAGAGGACTTTTGTGTTTCACTGTCATTAAATAGATGCTCAGAAGAACCTCAAGGACCACAAAGACAAATAATAGCCTTCTCAGTATTACCTAATCTGCATACCTTGCAGAAGGTTAAACAAATAGGTGATAGAGCAATAATGTACTTTGAGAAAAGAGCTCTCTTAAAAATCTTATGGAGAATGCTTCTCTTTTTTCTTATTTGTATTTTTCAGAGAATCACACTATTTGGCCTTCATTGCCCAGGAACTCACTATGTAACACAGGCTGGCCTACAACTCACCGGATCCACTTGCTTCAGTCTTCCTAGTAATAGGATTAAAATCATGATTTTCCAGGACTAGAAACTATATCTCAGAGTATTGAACAAAATCACCCATATGCACACCACCAACAGCTCTTTCTCTATTTAAATAACTCTCTATTTTAAAAATTAGAAATAGGTGAATAGCTTAATTCAAGAGTAAAATCAAAATATTCCAACAACTAAGTGCACTATAATGCATTTCCTTGCTCTGAATATTCAATTTTCTTTGAACAGTGAAATTAAGATTAAAAACTGTATGAGAGGGTTAGAGAGACTGTACACTATATAGCATTACTTGTTTTTGCTGAGAAGACAGAAAAATATAAAGCTATGGTTATTATCAGAATTTTCCTACATTCTGGTAGTCTCTACACAGATTGGAGAGTTTACATACCACAAAGTAAGTAAATACAAAGGAAGAGTCAGGAATTCTACAAGAAAAGCATACTTACCTACAAAAACTAGATTGCTGTAATTCTCCCACATTACATCCATATACAGAGACCTTTGAGAGGAGTCCAGACATTCCCACTCCTCTGGGGAAAAGTCCACAGCCACATTCCTGAACGTCAACAGACCCTGTAATGGAAAATTACACATTTACCATGTGCTGTTGACAAAATGCTTTCCTAGGTAAAAGAGACGTAAGGAATTAGAGACACTTTCATGATATTGATGAGGCATGACACTCAAAGACAAAAGTTTTCTAACAGTGCTGCAGAGATGGTTCAGAAGTGAAGAGCATGGGTGGCTCTTCTGGAGGACCCAAGTTTTGTTCCCAGAACCCACACAGCACTACATAATAGATTATAACTCATGTTCCATTGGATCTAATGCTCTTTTATGAACTCTGCAGGAAGGATGCACATATAATACTCATGCATACATTCAGGCAAATAAAGTGAATGTGAAAGTTAATTTTAATAAAAGATACAGTCTAGAATACTCTGTTGTATTTTCTATCTCTGTGAAAACAGGATGACATAATAGGCTTACAATCAGCAAACTTTGAAGGCATATAAGATATACATTGGAGTTCTAGATGCAGGAGTATACCTTACTGAAGGCTTTGTTGATATCAAACAGGATCACAATGTTGCACCTCGGATGGAAAAGTCATCATGAGCAAAACTCTGTCGACCTTGCTCAAATAAGGACACTGGATCAATCTTGTCTGCAGCTGGGCTACAGCTGACTTTATTCTAAGATGCTCAGTTGAGATCCCATGGCACAGGTACAATTCTATACCATTTGTAGAACACAGATGTAGAATATGGAATGGAGAATTCATGGATGAATAAAAGCCAAGGAGTATATTTTTTTAACAGTAAGGAGAGTAACAGCGCATAATCCAACATTTCAAACAACACATAGGATCAAATATTTTGTGAAGTTACTGTATGGGAGTATTTTCACAACCATCAAGTAAATACATTCTTCTAAAAGTCGACAAAACCAATATAGATGAATAACAATTTCAGAAATTCCATATGAGGGTTCACTCCAGAATAGTTAGAAAAATATGTGTAAATAAATGTTCTATGTGACAGTGCATTCAAATGAAGTAGAGAGATTTCCTGTGATCCAAATGATTGTATTGTTGTGTGAGAATACTAAATCTTCATTAATTTTGAATATATTATTGCTCATGACATTGTCTCAATTGAAAATTTGAATCTTGTAGTTTCAATTCTATTCTTTTCTTCAGTATTTGAGCTCAATAGTCTGACATGATTTATGTTTCATACATAAGTATCATTTATAATTATTTATTTTGCAAAAAAAAAAATAGAAGACACAAGATTAAACACTGACTCCGCCATGAATGTGCCTCAGAAATGTAAACCTAAGGGATGGAAAGATGGCTCAGAGGTAAAGGGCACTTGTTGATCCTGCAGAGAAATACAGTTTAATTCTCTCTACGTTTATGGCAGCATACCACAGTGCTTTACTCTCTTACCAAGGGTTTAGGGTCAACCTTAGGGCTGCATGGGCATCAATGGAGGCATGCAATACACATAAAAACATGTAGATAAACACTCATATACTCAATACAGATTTTTTTATTGTAAGTCAGACATAGAAACCTGTCGATTACCAGCTCTCTGCAGAATTTCTACCCATGTATTACATAGCTCCAGGGGAAGGAAAAATATAGGGTCGGGGAGCATTTTCCCTCCAAAAGAAAAGAGCAAAGTCATTAAGAGGGACATTCATTTAGGCTTGAAAATTGACAGCTTATGCATAGAGGCAAGGTAATATCTCTAGAATATTCTTCCTAATATATTCCACATGATACAATATAGAGGAGTGGGGGCAGGACTATCTATACCTTGTCTGAAAACTAAGACAAAGAGAAAATACTGATCTATTGAGAACTTACCACTGAACATTGTTATCAAGAACAAGATAAGACCAAGACCTCTCCTGAGACAATTAGTTTTCAGATGTCAACACATCCATAGGTGTATTACCACCATGTGATATCAAATAGCAAAGAAAGAATCCACTAAACTACAACTTGCATCTCCTCTCAGAACATCAGTTTTATGGCAAAAGCAAGCCATGTATTCATTCCTTCATTTGTGCTCTCTAGGGTGCTTAAATATTTACTATTATGACATAATACTCGGAGTCTTTTCTACTTCTACTTTTCCTTAAATTGTTCAGTGATGTAGGCGAAAGGTCCATGTGATTCTAGGGTTACTTTCATAAGATGGTTTAGGTAACCCCTGAAATACAACCTATGTGGCACATGAGATCTTCCTTCCTCACTAATATATAAGGACACAAGTCCACACTCTGTAGGAATTGGGCATCAATATATTTCTTTGATCATCATTTACAATGGAATCTTTTTCAGAATTATAAGTCTTAAGTGCATGAAAATATATGTCCTTACAGTAATAATCGAGGGAGGATACAATGGAACAAGGCTGAGCTGTGTAAGTGTCAAAATTTAAAGACTTAATCTTAATTATCAAAGAAAAGGAAGCAAAAAAAAAAAAAAAAAAAAACCCAGAAAATAAACACTTTACCATCGGCAGGGAATTTAAGGCTTGCATGGTTCTGATGAAAAAAACAAATTTCGCTCTTGTCTCTTGTTTCTCTTGCCTCCTCTTTTCTCTCTGGCTCTTCTTGTCCCCACTGTGACATGACCTTTCACTCTTTTGCTCTCCCCTTCCCCAATAAACTTCTTGCACTATCTCAGTTTTGTGTGGCATGTTTGCTTACTGGCATACTTTGGCAGGGCCCACCAGAAGGTACCTACTTTACCTTTCTTTTTTATCCTTTCATTGGTGCCAAGATTCAATAGGCTTTCCTAGCATTTGTTCTGGCCACCTGCTCCACCTACAACAGATCTGCTTTCTTGTCACTGATGGCTTTGCCTTCCATTCAATACCAGCAACTGGGTCTCTGGCGGGGCTACCTGCCTCTGACTAATTCGCTGAATATGAGGCTTCATTTCTGGAGCACAGTTCTTGCCTTCTTGTTTTTCTCAAAGTCCAGGTGACTGTGTCTCTCTTGGGGTCGGAGCCCTTGGCCTCTGTTCTTGCCTGATGACACACGGAGGAGCCTGTGCCTGTTCGGTCCTCTTCTCAGTCTAGGGGATGCCTGAGACTCTCACATTATGGACTTCTCTCTGCTTCATCCTTGGGAACTGTGTCATAAACCTCACTTCCACTGGGATGACTTCTGGAGATCCTCTGACCACTTCTTTCAAATCAAATGTGGCCTCAGTATACCTTGGACCAGGTAGTCAAGAAACTGAGAAAGAATGCTCCACTTTCTTTCTCTTTGTTCCAAGACCTGCTTGTTTCTCTCTGCTCTCCCTCTCTAAACTGTAAATGTTCTCTTTGTATGTTTGTTGCAATGTGGGAGTTAGACAGGGAGGCCAGCTTCATCTTGCTCAGCATACACCAGCTCTCCTCTGCAGTATCTGCTGATCTAACCCTCAGGAAGGTATGTATGGATTATTTGTCTGATGAGTGAATCTAATTCCAGATTTTAGAGTCTGATTCTTCCTGTGTTACTTTCCACATGGACACATGTGTGCTTGGCTGGCTCCTGCAGCCTGCTACATCCACGTGGACCTCTCCTGCTTTTTCCCATCTCCCAGTGGCCTTCCACAGCTTAAGTTCTAGTCTACTGTATTCTCCATATGGCTCTGGCTCTTGTGGCCTGCAGATCCACACGCTCCCTTCCCCTCTGTGTCTTCCTGGCTTTCCCTTACTCTGCAGCCAGACCGTAAACCCGCTGTGCTATCTCTGCTTCTGCCTGCAATCCTGCAGCTCATTTACACTCTCAACTTCCTCTTAGGACTTACAGGAACACACTTGCACAGTGCTCCACTTTGCAACCCTATCTCTCTTCCTCTATGGACTCAGATTTTATTACATCTTGGTCTTAGTACAAATCAATGGCCAAAATTGGCAAATTTGATTTCTGAATTCTCACAAATTGTCAACAACTGCTACTGTCACAAAGGCTCCCCAAATATCTTAAACTTGCTCTACTACACTTAACATTTCCAAAGTCCCTTATCTCTAAGGCTCTACTTCCCCACTCCTAAAAATAATTTATCTCTATGATTTCTTTGCACTCTGCTCTCAGAAAAGTAATAATATCTTAAGATTATGCTGCTAACTCTTATCTCAAGATTTGTAAATTACTCATTGTGTATGGTTTAAAATTTATATAATTTGTAACAAAATTTGGCTTTAAACTTAAAACATAAACCTTATAATTAAAATTCTATACATGTATTGCGTGTGTGTGTGTGTGTGTGTGTGTGTGTGTGTGTGTGATTCAACTCCTCTTTAAGATACGTATGTGTATGTGTACACATGTGACTTGGATTTAACACTATGTAGGAATGTAAGCTGGATTTAACTCTGTGTGTATATATTTGTAACATAGATTCAACTCTGTGCATATATGTCCATGTAACTTAGATTCAACTATTGTTTAGGAAAACGTTTTAAATAGCAACTGCATGGCTCTCCTTCATCTTGGCTGGTGACCTCATCATGATGGAGGCAACCACATGGCCGGCAAACATGTTTTACTAAGGTTAAAGAGTACATATCATGTGACACTTCTTAGTCCTAATGAGCTCTCTGTTCATTGTATCTCCTTTTACAATAAGGAAGCAACAAGTGTCAAATATTTTGGATTGGCATGGACTTTTGTATGATAGAAATATAAGGTTGTATTTAGTACAACATACTGTATATGTAATTCAACTCCGGTTTAGAATATACTGTATAAGGTGATAAAAATTTAAGGTTATAAAGGTCTATTCAGATTAACAAAAACTGACTTAGAGATTTACACCTAAGTACTTAGGTCTTTGATGTTCACCATCAAGGTTCTGGAGAATTTAGATAAATGGTAAGTTGTGTTTGATAAATAAGTTATTTGACAAATAAGATATATTCTATAATGGAGTTTCTGGTTCCATGAGAGGGTCTTTTTCTCAGGGTTGGGCATTTGGGCAGGGGCACCCAATGGCTTTTCAAGGGTAGTGCTGGCCTCACGGCTCCCTCAGTCCCTGTTCACAGAACCCACCCAGGCTCACAGGCCCCCTTTTCTCCTGTTCCCATTTGGCCCTGGGGATCTTTCCCCTGTCACATTTCCTTGCCTTCTCAGGAAACGGCCTTAGCAGTTTGGAATAAACTTGTTCCATTTTCACCCACAGAACAGCTATTTTGGTTTCTTTACTGAATGCATTATGCACAATTAAAAACTTTTATTTTGATACTAGAACATCAATTTAAAATCATTTTTAAAGCTAAACCTGACAGGAATGGAACATAAAGTACCAGTCTTATAAAAGCTACAAACTTATTGGAAACTGCAAAGAATAATTAAGAAATGCAAACTAATGATGAGTCAACTTAAACAGAAATGGAATGTAAAATACTAGTTTTATGAAAGTTGCTAACTTATTGTAGACTGTTAAGGAACATGTTAATAGCCATCTTATGACTGATCAAATTCTTTAATTGTAGTCATGCTAAGTACTAATATAATTAATTACAGGGATAAGCCTTTCTTAGTCCCCTGTATATATTTTCAAAGTTAAGCTTAAAGTAACTAGAAACAAGCAAAGTTTGTCTATTCAGATATACCTAATAGGCAGATGGTCTTCAAATGGTTCAGAGATATGCAGAATATGGCATTTAAAATGTTTAATAAAAAAGCTTTTCAAGATAGAGGGACATGCCAGCTCCTGGTAGCACCCCATCTCCTCCAAAGAAGATGGATGGGCATAGAAGAACCTCCACCTAGAGCTTGCTTTAAATGTGGCTACTGGGCAAATTTAAAATGTTGGTCACTGGGCAAAAAAACTGCCTTTCACCTCAACTGCTGCCAAGACAATCAGGACACTGAGGAATTAATTGCCCTGTTTTGCCTAGACAAGGTAGGCTGGTTCCCCTCCCCCTCACCTCCCACCCCCACACACCCCCAAGTTCCTACTCCATAGGAAAAGCTGTCAGATCTTCTGGACCTGATAGCTGAAGACTGATGCTGCCCTGAGACCTCTGCTCCCAACCACCACAGAGGACCCTGGGGTAGCTGTCTAGGTAGCCAGTAAGCCTGTCATTTAATAGATTTGGAAGCTGCCTGGTCTGCATTTCTGCTTGCTCAGGTGAAATTTATCCTTCTCAGAACTCTGATGTTCAATAACTATGCTGGTAATAACTTTATGAGTTTAACAGCAACAACCAAGACTGCAGCTGCCTTCTCAGTTCTCTTTATGTGTAAAAAGTCAGGCCACAGGTCTCTCTCTGCTACAGCTACTACTAGATTGTGACACAGTTTAACTTGTTATCAGACTCAGAAGAGATAAACTCACAAACAGATTTCAATGTAACTTTTTACTATTCCTTTATTGAAAAGAACTCTATTTACAAAGACTGTCCTCAGTAATCAACTACCTGTATCTCCTGGTCAATTAGATAGAAAGAGGGTGTTTTAAGGTATATAAATGTAAGTTATAAAAGTCTGAGGATGAAAAAGCGTATTTAGTGATAAAAAGAAATTGATTTAAGGTGTATAAAAGAATGAACAATGTTTCATATTTCTTTCTCTCCCTAATATACTGTTATTAAGACTCCAAAAGTTCAGTCTTAACATTAACCAATGGAGTTCTGATAAGCTATTAATCTATCTCTGCTACAGTATCACTACTATTATCATAGTCACAAGCTCAAGATTTTAAATTCCCTTTGGTTGCTTTCTAAGTATAGATTTAAAAGTGTTTCTCATTGTGCTAAAAACGTATGTCTAATCTATATACATCTTCTGGATAAAGGAAAGAGTGTTAAAGCTTTTAACCAGAATCATTTTTGGGTTCCTTATGATGTGACTCTACTGCCTTTTCTACAATGTTGATTTCAGTACAGATTATAAACAGTGGGAATGCTACTGTGTCTAAAACCTCTTTTGGTAAACTAAAAAAAAATTTTGAAAATTCTTGTGAGCTCCAGGGAGTTGACTTAAATCCACTTCAAACAGGTCATCAAATAAACTCCAGATAAGTACTATCAATCACAGTCCAAGTTTCCCACCTACTGTCTGTTCCTGAGGGTGGGATCTCCCCCACCTTTCCCTGGTCTTGGTCCTCCCCTCCCTTAATTACCAAAAGCTAAGAAAAGGTTTCCTCCATAAACTTCTTAACTTTATCTTCTGCTCTACTAGCATACTAACAGGTGCCCTCTCAAAGTCTGCGACCTGAACAGCTTGAAAATGGCTAGCCCCAAATGGTCCAACCTCACAGACTGTTTCAACCAGGTCAGCACTTTCCTAGTCCCTAGCACCAGAGAAGTTCCCACAGAACCTGGACGAGTGAATCAGCCAGCTATCCCAGGACTTGGCAAGCACTCCAGCTTTCTCAGGTCCCCCAAGGATGCTGACACCTCAGACAACAGGAAGCAGTTGAGAAAACACGACATCACCATTCCTGTCTCACCTGCTACCCCTTCCTATTTCCTCACCTTTTTATAATAACTAAAAGGAAGGAATGTTAGTTTCTGCTGCAGCAGCAGCCTGTCTCTGTCGCCAAAGCAGTTACATCATCACCTGTTGCCAGGTGCCTTTCCACAGTTAGCTTTGCAACATGTGCTCCCTTTAAGTGCCCGCCAGAGCACAGCTCACTCTATGGTCTCTTCGTTTCTCTTGCCTCCTCTTTTCTCTCTGGCCTCTTCTTTTCCCCACTCCGACAAAGCCTTTCACTCTTTTGCTCTCCCCCTCCCCCAGTAAACCTCTTGCACTGACTCTGTTGTGCATGGTGTGTTTGCTCACTGGCACACCGTGGCCGGTCCCCTGAAAGGTCCCCACTTGGCTTTCTGTTTTATTTATCCTTTCATCTATATCTATATATCTTTAAAAATAAAATTTTGTTTTGGGTTGCCTGTAGTTTTAAATATATATATGTATAAAATGTTTTTTTTGCAATAATAGATTTTTTTAAGCTTTAAAGAAATAGTCAAGTCTGTTACTATGTGTGGTGCTCATAGGTTTTCTTAATGTCATTTTTCTACCTTCTAATGCTCCATATTCCCGACCTCCCTAAAGGCATGGCTTGTGTCATCCCAGACTGCCCCACTGTTGCTGGCTCTCTCTACAGTTTACTGGCTTGGCTCAGGGAATCTCTCTGACACAGGAATCTCTCTCCCTCATTCCCAGGCTTGCTTCAGATCCTGTCTTTAGGGCACAGGCTCTGTCTTCCTGAAGTGTTGAATGTGGCAGCCTGGAGATAAGAGCTCTCATGGGGTGAAGGCTGCCTTTGGAGAAACAGTTGCAGGGAGGAAGAAGTCAGACACATTCTCCATTTCTGCTTAATTTCAGTCATTTCCCTGAGGGTGATTTTTCTATCATTCCAGTGTGCCCAATGTGGAGTGTGGAGGAAACCCTGAGTGTGTTAAGTCCTGAGTGGTGTGTGTTATTGACATGTGAGTTGGTCATGTCAAGAACCAATGTTTCAGTCCCAGGGGAGTGTTAAGGAGCAATGTCTCAGCTCTATGGGAGCGTCAAAGCTCATAGGAATGGCAAAGCCTTCCTTAGATCTGAGTGTGAATGTTGACAGTGTGTGCAGAAAATGCCTACCATAGCATTCTCCCCAGGATGCACAGCTTTCTCCGTGATATTTACTACTTGAAGACTGTTCCCCTACAGAGACGGCTCCTCCTGAGATTAGGTAAACCTGCCTCCTTATTCAGCTATGTATAATAAACATATTGAGCTTCCAGGGCTGCTGTGGCTTCTCCATCAGAGGGCCCAGATCACCAAAGGGGGGAAAAAAAAACAAACAATTTTCAAAGAAATGTGGACATGAGACTTACCTGGGGTGCATCTACAGGAGAATCATCCATTCTTCCTCTTGCTCTTCTCTGAGGTTCTTAGGAACAAAGACTGGAACTCTTTTTGACATTTCACATCAAGGTGTCAAAAGTAAAAAGCTAAAATTAAAACAACCCTGTTACAGACAGTGCTAAATAACATAAGAAAACCTAAAAATGACAAAGATACCAGAGGTATTGTGAACATTCCTACAGACAGGAAAGCAGGGAAGGATATACTTAGAATAATGAACGAAAGTAACTGGATCTTATCATTGCACCCAGAAATGTTGGCTCTTAAAATTCACAGAGAAGGAAGTTCACTTGAAGAAAGTTACAACCTACCACAGGTCATGAACTCAAGCAGCACTAAAGATCATAATTGGAAGTAAACTATACATATAAAAATCAGAGAAATTACCCATGATAACAGAGGGAATAAAGACATTTTACATAAAGAGTAGAAGAATAGAGGAGGGCTGGGGGTAACATACCATATCCAAACCCCATAACAATAAGCCATTATTTCTAACTGGAGGGAAGAAAAATACTATCAGTAATTTTACCAATCAGAGTATTTTTTTTAAAATGTCATTATTAGAAATAAAAGCCCTGTGATATGAAAATTTCAAAAGAAATGGAAATGTCTAAGACAAAGTTCAACAAGATTCTGTGATGAACTCCTAAAGGAACTAGGAAGAACGAAAACACAGCTGAACACAGTAAAGGGCACATGTGCCACACAGAGGCGAACCATACAGTGCCGAGATATAATGAACAGCATTTGCAGGAAAACTAGAAGGAGAGGAAGATGCATGTGTTCTCCAGTCCAATTTAATCCAGAGGCATAAGAGTGAGCTAGAGAAATCTGAATAAAACAAAGGATAAAAAGGAGATACAGGTAGGAAAGAAAGGCACCAAACTCCTCTATAATGATGATAAAGTTACATATAAAATTCTCCACAGACGCCATGGACAACTCTTAGACTTGACAAGTGTTTTAGTTATTATTGAAAAAATAGAAAACACACATGTGCTGTGGGATGGTCTGTATGTCAAATGTGTTGCTAATTGGTCAATGAATAAATCACTGATTGGTCAGTGGCCAGGCAGGAAGTATAGGTGGGACAAGGAGGAGAATAGGGCTGGAAAGTGGAAGGCTGAGGCGGGGAGACACTGCCAGTCGCCATCAGGACAAGGAAGATGTAAAGTACCGGTAAGCCACAAGCCACATGGCAAGGTATAGATTAATAGAAATGGATTAATTTAAGCTGTAAGAACAGTTAGCAAGAAGTCTGCCACAGCCATACAGTCTGTAACCAATATAAGTCTCTGTGTTTACTTGGTCGGGTCTGAGTTACTGTGGGACTGGCGGGTGTCAGAGATTTGTCCTGACTGTGGGCCAGGCAGGAAAACTCAAGCTACAAATGGCGCCCAACGTGGGGCAAGAGTTTCCACCTAAAACCCGAGAAAAAAGATTCTAAAATGGAGCTAAAAACAGTTCCTAGTTGTCTCTTTCAAGTTAGCGGCAGCCTGCCGGTTTGAGCTACTGGCAGGTTCCTAGCGTGTGTGCATGCTCAACCTGCAGTATGGTGGGAATGAGGTCTCTGCAAGTGGCACATTAAGCTGCATGGTGGATTTAGACTTTGCTAGTACAAAAAAAAAAAGAGGTTTCTGGGCTACATGCTGCTTTGATAAAAGCATAGACCCACTATTTCTGAGAATTGATGGCTCCCAGAGCTGGTGGAAAACGTATCACCGCCATGTTGGGAAGCTGAAGTGGGCAGAGCCAGCAGCGCCAGCGGCTTAGAAGACTGCAGTTCAAAGCAATAGGCTCAAGCTAATATAAAAAAAAATAAGCCACGTAAAGATGGCTACCACACAAAGAATCTGGATTATGTTCTCTTTGATATTCGTAACTAAAGAAAAACATTTAATTACAAAAGCTGTTGAGTTATGCCAAAATGTATATTTTAAAGGTACCTTGACTTCAAAATTTGGATGTAAGGATATGTTGCTTTGGAAAGGAGATTCTGCTTTTGTTTCCACAGAAAGCCAGAGGCTATGGATTTGTTCCAGATTAAGATACATCAGGTTTGACCAGCCAAGACCCCCTGAAAGGTGACAGCAAGGCCCAGATGATCCAACATCCAGAATGGTTTCAAGGCAACTGGCTCAGACAATACAGCCTCACGGACTACTCAATGATCCTAAAATTTTCTTTGTTTCCCCATAAGATACAGCGCCCCCCTCCAGCAGGAAGTAGTAAGAGAAGCTACGCCCAAATTCCCAAATATACCAAGCTGACTTTGGAGATGTGTAAAGGTTAAAACCTTCCTTTTTAAGAAAAGAAAAGGGGAAGTGCTGTGGGATGGTCTGTATGTCAAATGTGTTGCTGATTGGTCAATGAATAAATCACTGATTGGTCAGTGGCCAGGCAGGAAGTATAGGCGGGACTAAGAGAGAGGAGAATTGAGAGAACAGGAAGCTGGGTGGGAGAGACACTGTCAGCCGCCATCAGGACAAGGAAGATGTAAAGTACCGGTAAGCCACAAGCCACGTGGCAAGGTATAGATTAATAGAAATGGATTAATTTAAGCTGTAAGAACAGTTAGCAAGAAGCCTGCCACGGTCATACAGTTTGTAACCAATATAAGTCTCTGTGTTTACTTGATTGGGTTTGAGCGGCTTGGGACTGGCGGGTGAGAGAGATTTGTCCTGACTGTGGGCCAGGCAGGAAAACTCTAGCAACACACATGATGACTATTTTTCTACAAATCTATGACAATTTGAGAATTAAATTAGAAATTTAACCCACTTAGGTTGATTCATAAAGATCTAGGAATAAGTTGAAATAATAAAGACTTCACCTTTATGAGGAAAATTTTAAGGCACTCAGAAAAAAAAATGAAAAGTACACAAGGAAATGGATGGACAGACACTCTGACTGACAAAGGACTGGTATAAATGATTATATAACTAACAACCATCAGCAGAATTGATGCAATTCTCAGCAGCAAAATACTGACATTTTCCCCAAAAGTACATATGGAAACAGTCATGTGATCACAGGAAGAATCATAAATATCAATGTGAGGAGCTCAATCCTTAGAGAAGGTAAGAAAAGTTTTCTTCAAATAGAAATTAGGTGTTTGGGAAATTCAGCCTCTTGCCCAAGGTTTCACAATCATAAGTGACAGAATGGGATTAACATGGGTTCTTCTCACTCCTTTGCAACGAGGCATTCTGTACAATTATTGAAATGTTTTTTAAGGTCCAAAAAACCAAATTTTCAGAGTTATAGCTCTGTAATGTCATATGCACAGGAATTAAAGAGAGCCCATGAAAGGGGAAATAAAATCCCTGCCAATTATTAAAAACAAACAAACAAACAAATAAGAGAGAGAAAACATTTTCTGTAGGATATATCTTGCCAGGCCTGTCCAAATGGATTCCACGGCCACTCAGCCTCCAGGCCAGCCATGTGTGTTTGGGGCTTGCCCTCCCAAGAAAGCTGACTGGAACCCAAAGCCCTCCAGCCCCACTGTCTTTTCCAGGGCTGGGGTCTGGCCTAGCTTGGAGCACAGAAAGGCATCTGAGGCAATACATCAATTCCAAGGAACGGTGAGTGGGGCTCTGCTGCTGCAGTATAAGCTAGCTTGGATGCTCCAGAACTTAGTTTTTTGTTTGATTTTTGTTTGTTTTCTCTCACATTGAGAATAATTCAATATAGCTTGATCAATGATGGAATGATGAAACGGGGAAAGATGAAAACAGGCCCAGCTTCTAGCACAGGAACAATTACAAGTAGGACATTTAAGCCAATGCTGATTAAATTTCCTGAGGTCATTCATTATATGGATGACATTCTCTTCTCTTGCTCATCCAATCAATATTTAAATGAGTGTTTAACTTTCATGGTAAATAAACTAAAAGCAAAATTTAAAATTTTGGGTTATGTCATATCTGCCTGTAACTACTACAGATTTAACTCTGCTCTTTCAAGTTGCTTCTGGAGACGCTTGGTTAAATTCTGTAAGAAATGTAACACGTGAAGCTGAGAGTGTTTTTAGGTGATTAAATAATGCTGCTGCTGAAGCAGTACCTCATAGAATCAATCCCTTACTTTCTAATCAATTACTTATCCTACTTTCTTTCCTCTTCATTTCTGGTTGGAAATATAAGTCAAAAAGGTAATGGTACTATAGAAATTCATTCATGTCATAATTCTATGCAACAATCTGTAACTCCTTATTTACAAGAAATTACAGACTTAATGATGGAAAGGACCCATCTTAGAGAATTTGCTAATAAAGAGCCTACAGAAACCATCATGCCATTAAATAAAATGCAGGTTGATTATTATTTTCATAAAAAATTGGCAGGTTGCAACAGCATGTTATTTGGGATCAATAGACAAATCCCTCTTAATATTGTTTGAAAATACCCCATGGGTATTGTATAAAATTACATAAAACAAATCCTATAGAGATTACATTTAAAGTTTTAACAGATGGCACTTCAAAAGGACAAGGAACTTATGTTTTATATACAAATTCAAATCAGCTTTTATTAGATGTTTCCCAACCACTGAACATTTTAACTGACTCTGTTGTTTATTTAAATTTGGATGATAGTGTATTGGGTGAACTAAGGAAGAATCAGAGTCATCCAGTCATGTTGGGTAGCTATAAAACCCACTTTGCACATCCCCACCCAAAATGGCTATCCTGAACGAAGACTGAGGCTAACATTAACTGACCTTATATATAAATTACAACATGAAGGATAGAGAAGCACCTAGAATGGAAACCAACCTAACTGAAGAGAAAATGAATGCTGTAGAAGGATTGTGACTGTAGAAAGGGTATAATGGAAGGAAACATTTGGAGCGAGGTCTTCAAGGATGGAGTAGTCAACAGAAAGTTTGAACAGATGGGACATAAATAGCTAGGAGACAGAAACTGAAGAATGGGACAAAAATGGAAAATGGTTTAGTGTACTACTTCAGCTGAGTTTCTTTGCCTTAAAAATAGCAGATAAAGAACATCCATGGCAGCCTTCCCTACCCCCTACCTCCCATCTCCTGTAGATCTCATGGATCTTTCTCTTCTTTTTTT